GTTAGTAAGTTATCCAACGGTGCTTGTAATTCGGCACACCGGGGCACGTACTCTCGTAGCCAGTTGGTCAATCCTAGAAAACTTCTTAGCTTCTTCCTCGAGGTGGGCCGGTCTGCGGTCCGGATTGCTTCGATGTGTTCCTGGCACGGGCGGTTCCCGTTCGCCGTGATGTTGTGGCCCAGGTATTGGATCGTTTGCACCCCGAAGCGACACTTTTCGAGGGACAAGCGGAGTTTGTGGCGTTGCAGTCGTTCCAGCACGAGGTGTAGATGTTTGAGGGGCTCGTCCCAGGAGTCTGAGTAGATTATTATGTCATCCAGGTATACCATGACGAATTTCCGTAAATACCCGGCGAGAACGTCCTGGGTCATTAGCTTCTGGAACGTAGCAGGTGCATTCTTGAGCCCGAACGGCATTACTTTGAATTGATAACTCGCTCCATCAGGGGTTGAAAACGCGGTGAGATGTCGGGATTCCGTCTCTAGCGGCACCTGCCAGTAGCCTGATTTGAGATCCAGGCTGGAAAAAACTTTGGCCGTCCCCAGGTCTCGGAGGGTCTCCTGTATGACTGGCAGGTTGGTGCTCTCGTCTTTTGTGATGGCGTTTAGACGACGGTAGTCGATGCAGAATCTCGGGCGGCCGTCTTTTTTCTGAATTATGACGATGGGCGAGCAATATTCGGACGTGCTGGGCTCGATCACCTGCGCTGCTAACATAGCTTCCACTTCATCCGCGATGACCTTCTTTTTGTTTGGCGAATGTCGATATGGCGGAAGTCGGAAGGGCGTTGTTTTGGTGACTCGGATGCGATGTGTGGTGGATGCTGTTGTTGTGGGCGTTGCAGGATCGGCAAGTGTGCTACCGAAAGTTTCCAGCAGTGTGGCCAGGCGTCGATCGAGTGGTGGTTGGAACCCGTGCTTGACTCCGGCGAAGTTTATGGAGTCGCTCGTTGTTGGGCCGCGGTTCGGAGCTTGGTCCCAGTGTGTTGTCTGCCTTGTATGGGTTCCCCAGTGGATGCACGCTCTCTCGTAATCCAGCACCGCTCGATGTTCTTGGAGCCACTTCTGTCCCAAGATGATGGGCACGACAAGGTTTGGTGTCACCAGGAAGTCGTCCGATTCTTGCTTGTCGTTGAGCGTGTACTCGACTCTGGATGTGCCGATGACTTCCAGCTGATGGCGGGGGTTCGCTAGGCCGGCTGTTTGGTGGTTGCTATGGTGGATTTTCCACGCGAGCTCCTTCTGGATGAAGTTATGGGATGATCCGGAGTCGAGGAGAGCTCTTACGCTTTTTCCGCGTACCTTGACTGCCAGCGTTGGTAGGTTGGGTCGGGTCGCAGTCTGGATTAGGTGGACGGCCGGGCATTGTTCCCGACCGCTGCCCCGTTTCCCTGGTCTCGGCGGCGGGTCAGTACTGGGCAGTCTCGGTGGAAGTGATATTCCGGGCAGTGGTGGCACTTTGGTGTGTTGGGAGGTCTGTCGGCGGGGGTTGGTGGCGATGGTCTGGGTTGGTTGTTTCGAGGTAGCGCTTTGTTGCAGTTTTCGATTTCCTCGGCGTGACGCACCAAGTCGAGGAGTGAAGTGGGTGTTGTGGTTAAAAAGGCTACTCTAATGCGTGGGTGCAGCAGGTCTCTCAGTAGCTCGAGGGGCTCGCCGATCGGGATCTTCAGCCGTTTTGCTAGCTGTGCCTTCCTCTGGAGGAATTGCTGCGGCGACTCTGCTCCTTGTTCTCGGCCGAAGAATTCTGATTGCATCTTCCCGCGAATCTTGCTGCTGTCGTATTTTTCGCGGGTGTAGTTCTTTAGGTCGTTGTATGTCGGTGAAAATGCCTCGTAACTGTTCCACCATTTCGCAGCCTCCCCTTTTAGTTGTGCTGCTGCTGTTTTTAACTTTTCCGTCGGGTCGGTGGTTTGGATTGTCTGCTCGAGCGTGCTGAAGAAGACTGTTGGGTCCTCCAGGTGGTCGCCGCTGAAGGTCGGTAGGTCCGGTGATGCGGTTTTCTGCGCGTTCTGGAGGGCGTCGGTCAGCGCCTTTAGCATGTCGAGGGTGTGTTGAGAGTGTTGGGCGCCACTGGACGGGGTTGCCGGGTCCAGACCGGGGTTGATTGCCGGGGTCATCTCAGTTGTTTGAGTGTCGATACCTTCGTCGGCGCCGGAGTTGGACGTCGGGGTGTTCCTGCTCCTCGTATTCATGGTGTTGCGCGTCGGCTGTCGCGGGAGCGTGGGCGTAGATCCTCAGAGCGCGATGCTGCTGGTTGACTCACACGTATGGGCGCCAATTGTTACCGGGCGGGGTAACGTAAGTGGCAAACGGAGGTTGAAAACGTATATTACACAATATTTACAAATAATACAGAGGATATATGTACATATATAAGATCGCTTCTGGCACGTGGGATGGCGCCGGACTTGACTACGGTCAAGCCGGGAAGTGATGGCGTGCGGAGACGGTACTTGAGCCCAAGCGACCAGCCTCAGTCGCTTGTGTAGGGTAAGGTAGGCTTGCCCAGGCACAAGTGAAGTTCCCCTGTCGGTGCGCTGCTTATAAACGATTTCCGGTAGAGGCGTCTGGCGACGCGGCCAATAGGGCGCTAGTGGATGGTGGGGTGGAAGTTGCAACCCCTCTCCTAGTCGTCGTAACAAGACAAGGATTCCGTTGTCGGTACGTGCGCAATCCAGCTGGAGAGTACCAAACTGAGATCGAGATAAACCAGCCTGCCTGTGATTGGTCCAGCTCAAAAGCGAACAGCAACCTGCAGTGGGCGGTCCGAATTCATTCGACTTCCACATCGATCGTGCGACAAAGTGACCTCCAAGTCCTGGTGCACTTATGAACTCGAGGTATTTGTAGACAATAGTTCGTTGTAGTTCGCCTCGTTGTAGATTTATTAATTCGTTGTAGTTCGCCCCATTGTGATTCATTATTTCGTTGTATTTTTATTATTACAAAACTATTATAAATTGGTATGTTTGTAAAGGCGATTTAAATTACCTACTAGTGTTGCGTTCAATTTAGTGCTTATCAGCACTATTTGCATTCATTTAAACGACTCGAACCTGAAAGCGTTACTACACGCATTTACAGCAGTTTTGTGGTGACTTTCGACTAAAGTGGATAAGAATTTATGAAATACGAATTAATTTTCTTTCTGTACTCGGCGGTTTTGAGAGTAAATACCTTGATTTAATTCACATAATAAATACATATTTTTCCTTTATATGCAGTGACTTTTTGTGTATGAATGAATTAACTTTGTTTTCACAGGATGTACCGCCTCACCCCCATTTCTTTTAACATGTGTTACTTACAGATAAGAGGCGATTTCTAAGACAAAAGGAACCCAACAGGTTTTAATAAAGATTATTGATTTTTATTCATTTATCCTTTCCCCTCTCCTTGAGGCCAGAAGAATTATCAACTGAAGCTAGCCGGCGCCCAACAACCCTTAATGTTTATAGGAAGAACCACCCCCAAATAAAGGATTTTAAGATGAGACGGTAAAGAGAGTTGGAAAGTAACCAGCCGGTTACAACTAACTGGTCCAAGATTTCGGATATATTTGGAAGAGGATATGAGTCTCCGATTGTTACATTGTTTAATTTCCTGTAATCTACCACTACTCTCCACCTTTTTTTACCTAAACTGTCTGTTGTTTTCGGTACTATCCATACCGGAGAATTAAATGGGGAGCTAGAAGGGACAATGATATTTTGATCGACCATGTCTTTAATTTGCTTATTAACTTCTTCTTTGTGTGCTTCGGGATACCGATACGTTTTGGTAAAAACGGGAGTTGAGGTTACAGTAGGAATTTCATGCATTACTTGGTCCGAACAACTGAGTATATCATCATCAAGCATGAATATATTACTATATTCGTGACAAACATCCATTAAAGTTTCATACTCTTCATCGTTAAGATGGGAAGTTTTAATTCTTCGGAGATTCTTTGCAACCGGTTGGAGGCGTATTTTTCAGAAGCGTCAAGTGTTTTAACATTAGCGTTATGAGAAATTGGTAGAGGTTCTAAAGCAATGTGGAGTTTGGACAATTTTACTCTTTTGTCTGTGGTATTCAAAATTGACGTAATTGCCATTTGGTTGGCGTCTACATGTACTAAACTGGGACATATAAAAACGCCTTCTAGAACTTGGATTTTGTCGACTATGCCTTCTGAAATTTCGGGGTTAGCTATTTCAATCGGTATTATGGTTTCTGAACGCGGTGATAAAACAAAATTTGATAAACTGTGACTTGCAATAAATTGATCGTTGTGGATTTGGATTTTGGTTTTATCTGGAATTTGAATCTGACTAAAGAATTCATTTTGGTTTTGATTTTGAATTTGAAATGGTATTTGATTTTGAGATGAGTTTCCAGGATTTTCTTGATGATGAGGTTGAATTTGATGTTGAGATTGAGTTTTGCTTCGAGATTTAATTTGATTTTGAGAAGGAATTTGATTTTGAGATTGAATTTGATTTGGAGATTGCATTTGATTTGGAGATTGCATTTGATTTTGTGAATGGATTTGATTCTGAGATTGAATTTGATTTTGAGATCGAATTTGATTTTGAGATTGAATTTGATTTTGTGTACTCTTTTTAACGTGATTTAATTTGATTGGTTGATAACTTGGAATTTGTAAAGTATCGTTCCCATAATTTATTGTTGCGTTCGCAGATTTTAAAAAGTCGTTTCCTAAAATACCGTCACATGCGATCGGAAAATCTTCCGGGACTAAATGGAAAACATGAATTTGTGAAAAGTTATTTGCGCATAAATCAAGATAGCAGTATCCGAGTGTCCTTATAGGAGATTCTACTCGATCGATGCCCCTAAGCGTGATTATTTGATCTTTATAATATGAGACATGCGAAGAAAGCCTGTTTATTTTTAGTATAGAGACATTGGCTCCTGTGTCTAAAAGAAATGAATTTTGAAAATTTACTGTGGAATTAGAAGTCAGTGTAATAAATGTTGATACGAAGTCTATATGGTTTAAAAAAATGTAGCCTGAGTAAAGGTTCGTGGCGCGGCTACGTTCGCTCGTGAACCTTGCGCGTTTAGATTTTCTTCGGAGTTCATTAAATTAATGTTATAATTATTACTACTTTGGGAAGAGGCAGATGTCCCTTCGTTATTAGGTAAAGAGTCATGAGCTAAATAGTTAATATTTTGTGATGGGACATTTGTTGCATTTCGTGCGTTTCTCGCATTATTGTAAGCGCGTTTCCTACATTCGCTAATTAAGTGATTAGGTTTCTTACAATAATTGCAAAATTTTGGTTGAACAACGGGGTGCATTGGGGGTTCTTGTCGACAATTTTGATTTGCGTCGAAGTTTGCTCTAGGTTGACGTCGATGTGTAAAGTGGCGAACTGGATATTCACGATTATCCGGATTAAATGTTTTCATGAATTGATTTGAAGTACTAGCGCTAGGTTGAGTTTTGTAGTTGCTATTGGGAAAAGTTTTGTGTACAAATTTTCCTGACGGTTGAGGCAGTTTATCATTATTACGGAAAACTTGTTGAAATTTTTGAATATCGAGTCTGGATTTAAAGTCCCTTTCTTCATTGACAGCTAACGAAATTGCTTCCGATAATGAATTTGGTTTTTGTGATTTTACTATTAAAGCCAATTCTTTACGTAGACCATTTATAAAAACATTTAACGTTTGATTTTTTAATAACTCGATACACGCGTTTCTACCTTCGGTACTTAGGTTTTCATCTAGTGACTCCAATAATGTAAAGGTGCGTTCGTTTTTTCGTTCACGGAGTAGAACAGATCGAGCAGCACAAAGATCACGTGATACATGAAGCAAATGGATCGCTAAAAATAAACGAACGGTGTGGGATGGGACCGAGCTGCACTAACATAACCTCAATCTCGACATTCTTTATTATTTACAAGTTTGCATTTAACTTGAGTGAAGCATACGGATTCCTTCACTCAACTTTAAAGTATAGCAATAATGGACAACAACAAAAAAATTCTTTTGTCTGTAGTCCTCCACGAGGGTGCCAATTTGTTATTCTTTGACAGTGATTCAGATGATGATGATCACAACAATGAGCCAAAAATATATTCATTTGCTGAAGTGATTGTACCATCGATGAACAGCCGGCAATTTCAACGCCATTTCCGTATGGATGTCAACGTTTTCGAAGTGCTACTACAAAAACTTCACGGTATGTTTATGAATGACCAACAACGTGTTGTATGTCCAGGCCGGCCCGAAATAAGTATTGAAAAAGGGTGCATGGTTGTGGTGTGGTATTTGGCAAACATGGAAAGCATCAGGTAAGATTTTAAAGTTCCGGTTGTTCTCTAACAACTACCGTCTTTCAGATCTGTTGCCAATCGATTTGGTATAAGTAACTCCACTTGTTGGATGGTACTTTACAAGATTTGTAATATGCTTGTACAATTAAGTTTGCAACATCGACTGATTGCATGGCCATCGCCCAATTCTTTGCAAGTTACATGTAACAGTTTTCAGCAACATTTTGGAATGAGAGGTTAGTAGAAATCCCGTACATTAGGTATTTAAATCCATTCTTCTAGGAGTAATTGGAGCCATTGACGGTAGCCACATTAGGATTAATGCGCCAAAGGACCATCACACGTCATACATAAACCGAAAGGGCTATCATTCTGTGTTGTTGCAAGCTGTGTGCAATGCAGATATGTTATTTACTGATGTCTACACCGGCTATCCCGGATCTGTACACGATGCAGCATTATTCAAGCGATCAGATTTGTGTAATAATATAAGTACAGGTGCTGCCTATGTAGGAGAGTTTTACTTACTTGGGGACAAAGCGTACCCTTTACAAACTGTTTTAATGGTTCCCTTTAAAGATACCGGTCGGTTATCTAGGCAACAAAAACATTTTAATGTTGTGTTAAGTAAATCAAGAGTTGTAATTGAAAACGCGTTTGCTCTCCTTAAAGGTCGCTTTAGAAGACTGAAATACATAGAAACTGTGAAGCTCGAATATATTGTATTATTGATTATGGCAGCAACAATCCTGCATAACTTATGCATTCTATGCAAGGATGAATTTAGACAATTGATAGACATAACTGTAGAAATAGCAGAGGAAAGGGAAATGAATGATGTTGAAATACATAACATAGCATTTAGAAATAACTTAGCAATAGCAAAACGACAGGAGATTATGAATTCATTGGCAATGATACTTAACAATTAAATATAGTTTTTATTATGTAATAAACGAGAAATAATAAGATAATAAAAAGATAAAATAACGATATTCTATTAATAAGTGTTCAAAATGAATAAATTCTATTCTTAAGTAACGTAACTTACAATTTCTGGATTAATTGTTCAAATAAATTCAAAAATTTGTCTTGTCTGGCAAGTTTCTCCTTGTGTCGTTGGTCTATCATAGACACTTTTCGTTTCCGTGTTTTTTCAAAATCACTCACTTCTGCTGGTGAAGGGGGTCCTGAGCTTGTAGGTGTACCACATCGTGAAGATGTAGAAGGAGATCCGTTGCTTGTTTTTATGCCTGCACTGCTACTAGCCGTAGCAATAGGGTTAACTTCGGGACGTTTATATAAAATATCGTGAATTATTTCGAAATACTCCCATGTTTTTCGGTTGCGTCCTGTGCTGTTATTATGATCCACAACGGTTTTGTATGTGCGTTTGAGACTTTTCCCCTTGCCTTCACAAGCTTTGGATGTAATGGTTAATTTGGTCGCCTTTGATAGTGCTGTAGCAATTTTTTCCCACACTATCTTTTTTAATGTACTATCAAAGTCATCTATTCTGTTTTTGATCTGATAAATTAAATAACAATGTGTTTTGTCGTGACCAGTTCATTTTATCTGTCGATGCCGTTTCATCAGTTTCGTAATCCCCAAGAGATGGATTATCCTAAAATGGTAATATTTCATATACAATACTTAGATATTCGTCATTACAATAAGATTTGCCTGCAAAGTGTATGCTGGTTTATTCTACGGAAATCTTACCTGTTCGTTTTCTATACAATCTTGGGGTACAGTTGTGCCCTCAGTTGTCTCATGCTGAAAGGTCAATTGAAAGATTTCAGCTACCTCTTCACGGGGCACATACATCAAGGTCCCATCTTAAATTAATACAATAATTTTTAACAAAAGAAATGCATTATGCACACAGGACTCTTACCGCTTATTTGAGATAAGAGTACATCCCCATTTTCATTAGTAATAACACCCCCTGTTGGTTCGTCGTACACAACATCATGTGAATGCGTTGTAATATTCATCGTAATAGAAAAAATGAAAAGGCTGACAAAAGTGGCTCGTATTTTTTTAGGTTAAAATAAACACGGTCCACGTGATCACGCCGATTCGTTCCATCTGCACCCTCTCATGAGATGGAGTGAATGGAGTTAACTCCATTTACTCCGTTTTGTAATAAAAGAACGCTACAGTGTCAACTAGTTTTCAGGTGCATCAATAAACGAACGGTTTAGAACAAAAAGAGTGTTCAGCACGGATACACGAACGCACCTATAGTAATCTTCTATACGAGAGGAGTAAGCAATAACGGTTTCATTAAAACTTTGTTTGCACGAATTTAGTTCAAGTTGCCATTGACCCATTGTGCGTTTATCGCCGTAAGTATCTAACAAAAATTTTTTTAAATCTTTCCATTCAGTAAAATCTTTATTTCTAGTTAATGCCCTAGCTTTATCAGTTAGTTTAGTTAAAATGATAGAAAAAACGGTCGTTTTATTAGCTCCGCTTACAAGGGATAACGCTCTGTCACAATTGTCAATGAATTCATAAAGCTTATCTTTGTCACCAGAAAATTTTATCAACATTTTTTCCGCTAGTTCCGGAGTGATGCCCATTTTGAAATATGAATTTTATGAATTATCGAAAAAAAGAAAAAATATATACCTATATATCTACCGCACTAATTGGAATTAAGTGTACTTAAATCTACAAAATATACATATAACCATTAAGGATAAAAATAACTTACATTGAAGATTCGAGTTCGATTTTGAAAACGAATGACGTGAGTAGCAGAGACGATTTGCAGCAGCTTGATTGATGAGAATTAATTTTTGATGATGATGTCACTGATGTTGGTATAAACCATTTGCGACCATTCGATTGATGTTGATTGATTTAGGATGAAGTTGGTAGTGACCATTTGTGCCACCTTGATCGATGTAGATAGGTTGTGTAATTGTAACGATTACTGATGATCTCGCTGATGATGCTGTTGGCTGACCGACGATTATTGGATTCGGATTCGCTCCTTCCAGCGGATTGCATTTCATTTGTGCTCGATAATAGCGATTTGCGTTTCGATTGTAGATGAGATGACACGCAAGACGCGTAATTTGAGGTGTGCGAGTTAGTACACATTAGTTTATAATTTAGATCACGCACGCTAACATCGATTTGCACAATCCCACTTCTGACACCACTTGTAATAATCGGCCGGAAGAAAACCCGATTTCGGTTAGATTAAATATCTTTATTTCCATTCAAGTATTTATATTACATTGTTACTATTGTTTAAGTTGAAGTTGAAGTCATAGCGACTAATCGCGCGTGTCGCTTGACGTGCAAATAACTTAATTGTTACTTAAGAACTAACTTTGAGGTTTGGTTTTGTAACCCTAGAAAATATGAATTGAACATGATTGGTTATCCCACTTAAAGATAGAAAACGTTTAACCAGTGATATTTCTTTCTATAATTACATTTCTTGGAATATTGCAAAAGATGACAAATGACTAAAATGACTAAAGTTTCCTCGAAAGGTCTAATCTTATACTAAGAAAGATTTACTTTACTAAAATAAGTGTTTGTGCAAGGATTTGTGTACAATACGAAGATTTAAACTGAACAATGAAATTAAAGAGAAAAATCTGGTAAGATTGACATTTACGCTTGAATTAGCAAGTACCTACTTAACTTAGGGCTAAATGACTAATATTACGCGTTACGAATTCCGAGGGTTATTACACCAAGGTAGTTACGGAACATACTCTAAGTAACCTGTCCTGTATACGCTTCTTTACTATCCCGCACACAAACTTATCACGCAACGCTCGTTGATTATAATTACCAAAATCACATAGGGACGCTTGTTCTTTTAATTTGGTAATACACTCCGAAATGCAGTGGCGGATTACCCAATAGGCGCACTAGGCGCGCGCCTAGGGCCCCGTGACAACTGGGGCCCCCACAAACATTGCTTCCCCACTTAGTTTTTTAGGGGCCAGTTGATCAGCACCATAGATAGGTGGATAGTAATTACTTTTAATAAAAGTAACAAACTAAAAAGAGGAATTCTTATTTTTAGGATTGCAATTTGCAAAGTGAACCGGTACAAAATCGATAAATCGTCAAAATAGTTCAATTACATACTCCGCAATTGCATTGCATGTATCAAAATCTTTAAAACCCAAAGAAAGCAAAAACGTGACTAAGCTAACACAGCACATATAGTTTATTCGCTTTTACTAGTCCGATATCTAATTAACCCCTCTAATTGTAACGTCATTCTTCTTTGTTTTCTTCACGTCAACCTAGTCCTTGCATTAGGGTAAACTGGAATGCGGTACGGTTTACGTAGAAAATAAGCAAGTGTAATTATAAAACTATAATTACACTTGCTTATTTTCTACGTAAACCGTACCGCATTCCAGTTTACCTTAATGCAAAATGCAATGGACTATAATTGAAGGTTGACGTGAAGAAAACAAAGAATAGCGCTTTAGAGAGGGATTGTATTTCCTCTATGACTCTGTGTATCCCCGTGTCTGTGTGTACAGCAAGCTGAGCAAGCAGCGTTTAATTACCTACACGATAAGTTTAAAATTACTGCTGAGTACTCACTACATTCGTTGAAGTTATTTTTTCTATTTCGATTTTTAAATGTTCTTATTAACGCACTGTTTTCCGCTCAAAACAGTGCGTTAATGAGACCTATTAACGCACCGTTTTTAAGTTGGTATTAAAGTGGAAAACCTAAATTCACTACCCTATTTGACATTCGATTGTATTTATTTACAAATTAGGGTTATGTTTTGATATACAGAAAGACAAGATTCCCTTTCTATTTGATTAAAAGCGAGACATGTAAGGCTGATAAAGTGTTAATCAAATTACAAGAAGAACAATATGAAAAAACCACTTAATTACTTTCTCCTTCCAAAACTCAAAAGGGAATTAAATATTACGGTATGTAGCGTAAGAACCGAGATATCAAAAATGTGGGGCTTTGAGGTAAATTTGTACATTAATGATTAATGCCTCTTTTTGTAGCACGTTCAACATCTACGTACAATCTGTGACCAATGATTACTAGTACGAATAGTGTACCTAACTTCCAAAAACGACCTACAGGTTATAAAGGAGATTTCGAATGGGGAATGAATGACAACGAGGATACCTTCGGAACACATTAAACAATATTTTAAAGGAGCAGCTTATTGCTTTTAGCACTTGTTCTGCGTTATTCATATCGTGAGCCTGATTTGTGTAGTATCGTTATGCTCCTAAGAGGAAGTGACAATCCGAAGCCGAACCCGTCGTAATGAGTGACACCTATCACGTAACAACAACCCACTAAGGACCGATCCGTTAGTGACCGTTAATGGCAAATCGCAAAAAGAAACCTTTGTTTTTCTTTTTATGTCAGTCACCAATATAAGTAGAAGCAGTGTCATATGGGCGAAATCTGTTAGCTGTTAGCTTTGTCGTTAATCGACAGTGACACGACTGAATTTCACATAACTTATATAAAAGGACGAAGGACTGTATTTTGCCTTTATGAATTGTTCCACAGTTAATGTACTAATTTCTGAAGTTTATTAATTAAAACAAAATTGATGAGAGTGTATTTAAATAAGTGAAATATTTGGGACGTCGTACTGCCAACTTAATACAACCTGCACTAATACAACTTCTATATCAAAATTCCCTAGTTACAAAAAGTTACTATAACATCATTTTGATCAAAATTTCTCGAAAATATCTTCTCAATAGAAAAAATAGTATAAGAAACTTGTTTCATAAGACGCCCCATCGCACTCGTTCATTAGAAAACTCGTCGCGAGCGGCTCGTTTTCTAAACTTGAACTCGTGCGTTAAACGCGCCACTTATGAAACTTGTTTCTTAATATACTATATTCGCACACCACATCCAGATTTTATATTTGTTGCATTATGTCGAACTCTAATGTAAGCTCGAATGTAAGTAAACAAACAAATTCAATTCCATATTTTAGAATATTTTATTCTCGATTTTATTTTATTGTAAAAGGTTAACAAACGCCATTTGTCTGGTTCCGAAAAGCGCAAACGGCGAAAGTTACAAGAAAAATTAGTGGAAACTCAGCGTCATTCTTTAGACGCATTTTTATCTCGTAACAAAAGCGATGAAAGTGGCAGCCGTGGCCATGATGATGTTGCTGATGCATTTGTCGTTAATGTTGCTACAGAATCAGATTCGAAAGGAGGAGAGCAATCGAAAGATGTATTGCATAATGATCCTGTTAATATTGACGAAGATCCCACAGCTACTTCAGTTGCACAGGAAGAGGAACCAAACATCACAGACGATAAAGACAACAAAGTTAAAAACGAAGACAACTTAGACAACGATGAATACCCACTTGACATAGGGATGTGGCCCAAACAATTAACTACCCAGCAAACAGAGTACGTCTTTAGACGTAAAATACACGTTGCTATTTGGTAGATATTCAACTAGGTAAAAAGAAACGTAAATTAAACGTGAGTTTTTGGTTGAAATATAACTAGGTAAAAGAAGACGTAAAATAAACCTCATAATTTAGTTGAAATTCAACTTCATCGTAACTTGACCTAAAATTTACCAAACAATAAACCTCACGTTTTTTTTTATTTTATTTTTTTATTTATTTATTTACATGCTTTACAACAGGTTACATGTACCCAATTACAGTAAAGCAGTTTAAACAATAACATTAAGACGAACAAACATGAAGTGAATATAAGTAAACAGAACAAGTATATGAAAAACAGAGAATAAATATTCTAACTCAATTTAATATTAAATAAACAAAAATAATTGTAAAAATTTAGTACAAGTTTGTGAATGTGTGTGTAAGAATAGCATAAATGACGAAGAAGTGCATGGAGGTATGGGCATGGTAAGACGCAATGAAGTTTTATGTTTAAAGAAGTGACTTACAATGTGATATAAACGTTGAGAGATTATAACGAAAAATGTCAACCTTGCCAGACAAGGTACAGATTTGATTGTATAGTCGCTGCATATCTATCAATGGCGAAAAAATAAGTAAGTTTGTGCGTAAGTAAGGTATATAAAACAGTGTATGGGTACGACGAAGAAAAGGTGAAACATGAAAATTAATTTGCGCCAGATTTTCGGGGTTAGCAATATTCCCATGGAGTAACTTGTGCAAATAATTCAATTGGGAAAGTTCATGCCTCTTTTTAACACATTCCATATTAAAGGATGACAGCAGTTCAGCGTAAGGTATGAGATATGAGTATTGTCCGCTACGTTTATAGTTGAGATACCTTAGAAACTTCTTTTGTACCTTTTCTAGGCTGTTCCTATGGGTGAAGGAATGAGGCTTCCAGACAATACATGCATAATCCAAGTGTGGTCTAACAATGGCAGAAAATAAAGACTTTAAAGTGTGTTCTTTAGAAAAGTTGGCAGCTTGCCTTAAGATAAATCCTAAGTTTCGGTATGCTTTGCCTACACTGTTTTCTACGTGTGCAGAGAAAGTTAACCTGTGGTCCAGTATTACACCTAAGTCCTTTATTTCCAAAATGCGTCGTAGCTCTTCCCCGTTCATGGAATATTCATACGTTATAGGAGCTGAAGGCGATAATTTAATAAAATAACGGTTGTAGGAATACAAATCCAAGTAGACTGCACTCGAGTGCGATACCTTCATTTTCGTATTGCGCGCCACCGCAACACATCGCGTCACGTGTTATAAGCTTGCTGGTACGCATTTTTGTTTTCGTTTTGGCGCTTAGTAATATTTGTTTGCCGGTGTTTTCAGAAGTTTTGTGTGAATATTAGGTAAGTTTCTGTATGTTACTCAATTCTCATCGTATGTGCAATTATGCTTGGCGTATTCTGAAAGCATTTATGTTATTTTACTCATTTAGATGTTAACATAACCTTAAAATTAATTTGTTATTAATTTACATATTACAATATTGCAATAACGGTTTGTTACACAGTTACTAAGTGGAGATTATTTGCAGAAAATGGCCGCTTTTAATGTTGTGCAATTTGAAGAGAAAGACGGCTCCTCGGTAGCTATTGTCCATCGTGAGTGGTTAACGCCACGTAAAACGGAGGTCTTCTGGCCACCTCATAAAAGAAGTGCTTCTTTCTATAAATGTTTACGAGATGGAGAAACCGTGCAATCGGACTGGAAATTATACAAAATAAAAAAAATCTTTTATTCGTGTGGTACGTTTGTATGTAGGAAACTTATGGCCGTTTTCACCGACAAATTTAAGTACTGCTTAGCTTAAGCGTAACTTACAATCCATGACAACGATTATTAAGACAATGGTTGCCATTGATTTTAAGCTACGCTTACGCTAAGCACTACTTAGATTTGTCGGTGAAAACGGCCATTAATGTATTAAGGGCCAATTGCACCGTCAAAATTAAGTATCGCTTAAAGTTAAGCATAACTTAATTGCCATAGCAACGATTGTCTTAATAATTAATCGTTGCCATAGATTTTAAGTTCGACTTAACTTTAAGCAAGGCTTAATTTTGTTGGTGCAACTGGGCATGAGTGCCTTACTTTAAAGTGTTTTTTGTTTGTATGTTTTTGGATGTTGCATCTAAACATATGATCAATCGTACATGCTGCTTGATGTCGATACAAGCTTTGAGGCACTTTCAACTCCAGGATCAAACTCTGCAGTGTCGGTTTATCACACTATACAGTTGCGTTTAGAACGGCATCGGAATTTAATTTTGCAATGCACCAGTAAAATGGCACCTTAACGTTTGCTTATATTGTTAAGGATAATTGCATCATACAAACACATCGACCTACTTGTAACCTTTTTAGACCAGAACAGGTTATGCTTCTTTATGTTGGACATGGTATGTTTATACCTATGTATGTAGTTCAATTACTAAATTTCCTTGGTTCGCTCTAAGAAGGTTGTATCCTGTGAAGTTTGTGGATTTTGTATTTTATCTTTATATCATTAACATTTATTTATTTTAAAGATGATTATGATGATGCAAAAGAGAAAGAGAAATTAGCTGAAGTACATTCAGATTTTGAAGATACTCAGGTTATTTGGAAACGACCTAGAGTGCTCCCACTGCGATTTCAAAACGAGAGTGGTGAGGAGGAGGAAACGGAGAGTCAGTTATCACGACCCCCAAAAATTCTAAACACAGCAGTAGGTAAAATAGAGTGGTATAAATATTACACAATTGATCTGCAGATTTACATTTTTTTCAGCTATAACGAATGCTGATGTGTGCCAAGGGAAGTCACAGAAGTCACGGTCACCTTCTACAATTTCCACTGTTTCAAGAAAAAACTCATTGGATTGTCGAGAAAGTTCAAATTTACCTAGTACTTCCCAAAGCAATGACAGTGTGCAGTCTCGATGTAGTACACCTGTAACACCGTCCAGCACTTTTAGTGGGAATCAAGGTATTTAAATTGTACTTGCACATTAATTATGCCATTGTTAATTTTTTTTTGTTAGTTTTTCAGAGCAGGTTTATTGGACTATTATCGAGGGTAGTGGAGCAGAATAAAGAAATTTTACATCTTCTTAAAAATACATCACATACACCACAACATACCCAAAACTGCCCAGATCTACCAGTCACATTGCCACTTTCTAAATTTGAAGATTTTTTAACATTGGAAAATTACCTTGGAGATTCTGATCATCAGCAAATTTTGGTGAGGTTCCTAGTACTTGTAGTTGGAACATGTATGATAAATTTTTTTTAGTCAAATTTCTTATCGACTTTGGACAGAACCAGTCTGGTCTCTGCAACCAACGCTATTTTGAAATATTGCGTATCATTTAGATTAGCAAAAGAATTCAGCTACCTTGGAACTCGAAACAATAAAAAACCTTTCAGTGTGCATATTCTCAAAAAAGTTATCGTTGGTAGGTAGCACATACACACATGTGTTTTTTTAATTAACATAGTATTTAGATGCAGTGAAAGTGGCTGTCCCATCATCCACCAGGCAAATTGAGGATCAAATAAAAATATGGCTGAAACGTTCACCTAAAAGCCATGCCTTAGAAGTGGAAAAACAGAAAAAAAACATGAGTTCCAAGATAGTGGGGAAGAGGCAGTTTTATAGGAAGTTAAACAAACAAAAAGAACAACTGTTACATATGTTAAATGGCGGTATTGATGCCCAAATTGTAAGTACAAGTTCTGGTTGCAATACACTTTTACGTTTTGATATAAGCAGCATTACTGATATAGAGGGTGTCTTAGATTCGTATGAGCCATTTCCACACATGAGCATTTCCGATGATGAGCAAGATAGTTTAAATGAACATGTAGATGTTCCCAATTTTTGTAATTCTAGTGCTTGTGATCAAAGTTTAGCTACTAATTTAGATCAGACAATCAATGAAAATGAGAAACAAATGGATATAGCTATTAATTCTGTTTCATTATCAACAAAATTGAAACAGTGGGCTATAACTTCTGGTGTGACACACTCTACTGTTACAAATCTGCTTCATATTCTTTCCCCTTACCATGCCGAGTTGCCACTAGATTGCCGAACATTATTGAAAACTCCCACTAAAACTAACATTATTCAATTAGAAACAGGAAGTTATTGTCATATAGGTCTTCAAAAAGGTATCACACATTTTCTTTTAACTAATTCACAATTTATTGGTGATGAGCTTCAGATTGGTTTCAATATAGACGGTATACCATTATATAAAAGTAAGAATTCTCAGTTATGGCCAATCTTGGGGCAAATAAAAAATAGTAATTCCTCGCCATTTCCGATAGGAGTTTTTTATGGTAATGCAAAACCACAGCCCCTACAATTGTTTTTGAAGGATTTAATAAATGAATTAAACATCCTTATGATAGAAGGTATTACTGTTATGGGAAAATCTTATCGTGTTCAGATTTTTGCTTTTATGTGTGATAGTCCCGCAAGAGCTTTTCTTAAGTGTATTAAATATCATAGTGGCTATTCCTCTTGCGAAAAGTGCATTGAGGTTGGAAATTATGTTGATGGTAGAGTGGTGTTTCTATCTACTTCCGCCCCTAAAAGAACAGACCACAGTTTCAAAAATCAAACTGACGAAGACCACCATACTGGTATTTCTCCTTTAATTGAGATACAACTAGGCATGGTAAGCCAATTCCCCATAGATTATATGCATAACATATGCCTTGGGGTAGTTAAAAAGTTACTTACTTTGTGGCTAAATGGTCCATTGCAATTTAGATTGCAAAACAGACTGGTTCAAAATATATCACAGTTATTAGAGTCATTTGCAAAATGTACTCCTATTGAATTTAATCGAAAACCACGCAGCTTGGTTGAATTGGCGAGATGGAAAGCCACTGAATTTCGATCCTTTTTATTATACTTTGGACCAGTCGTGCTTAAAAGTAAAGTGGACTTAGCCATTTATGAGCATTTCCTTTTATTACATTCAGCAATAACTATACTAATCTCCATTACTCATTTAAATCAACTTGGTTTAGATTTACCTGAAGAGATGTTAAATACATTTGTCAATCACTCGAATGTTTTATATGGTCCCTCTTTTTTAATATACAATGTTCACTATCTTTCTCATCTTACGCATGATGTTCGGACATATGGAGTGTTGGATAATTTTTCATGTTTTCCATTTGTACCAGTTAAAGCGTTTGGTAAAATCTACTGTTAATCCCTTAGTAGAAATTCATAATCGCCTTATTGAAAAGAGTTCGTGCGCTGCAGCAAGTGATTTTATGTCAGAGGGTTTGCAACTTAAGTACCCACATACTTGTGGCCCAGTTATTAATTTAGAAAATCATGATCTACAGTATAAAAAATTGCACTACAATAATACAATTTTTACAATTTATCCATACTCCAAGGCTGATTGCTACTGTCTAATCGAGGGTTCAGTAGTGGAAATTCATAACATAATTATGAATCACAACAAACAAATAGTTATTGTGGGGAAAAAATTTAAATCACAATGCTCTCTATACAGTTATCCTTTTGATTCAAAAGTACTGGATATACATATATTTAGTTTCAGAAATATCCAAGAAGTGTGTTGCTTTCATTTTGTCCAAAAAACTTACTAAATGCATTGTTTATTAATTTATAGTTATTCCACCTATGGTCTGATAAGTGCTGCCACATTGCGTTACTGTATTGTACTGTATGGAAATTGCAATTGGTTCATGGATAAACTGATTTAAAAAAATAACCGCAAGATTTCCATATGTTATTGCATTTTCTTTTCTACTTTATATCCTTATATTTAGTTGTCCACGCCCTATACAAAATTCTTGTGGGAGATTTTAACATAATTCATTATCATTGTTTATTAAACAATGTTATTATATTTGGTCATAAAGTAAACCTTGAAAGCCGCACCCCTGGTTTTCTTCACATTGACCAAAAATTTGTAGACCACTCGTTTAATCTCACAAAAATACGAACTGCTTACACCAAACAATAGAGTAAAGGCAGGAGCATACTTACCTGACGCGACGTGATGTCATGCTACTCAACGCAACGCAGATCTAAAAGCCGAATTCTTATAGGAATGAACACATTTCTCTTAAGCAGTGTGTCGTTACGCAACACATTACTTTAAGAATTCGGCATTTAAATCTGCATGCGTTGAGTAGCGTAACGTCATGTCGGGTCAGGTAGGTATGTTCCTGCCTTAATGCGCTCATAACTAGTAGAAGGTCCAACAGCAGCACCTTAAAACTTACCAGACAGTAAATCTGGAACGAATTTAACAACATACTAAACAAACATTTAATACTCCACTTTCCATAACTTCAACATCGCGTTGTAAAATATAAAAAAAATAAGCAACTATTATTATTATTAGGATTTCTTACACATATCACTAACAAGTATTTAGAGAAAGGATGAAAAATATATAAAAAATTAAGGTACGACCAACAACCCAGTACAGCATATTTTAAGATTTGACAGTGTTCGCTGCATGAAAATAATTCACAAGTATTGAACCGTTTGATTTACCGTCCTTCTATCGCTGAATGTGTTTATGATCTTCTGGTATCTGCATAATTGACAAATTCTACCGATTCACTGACGTTTTACTACATGTAATCTGAACCCATAACGTATTAACGATTGTACGAGAAATTATCAAAATTAGAGGTAAAATTCTTTATGTGCATTGCAAACGATTCTCCCTTTAACAAATTAAGTACACATTTCAGTAGCAATTTCTTATTTTACTAGACAAAATTTACAGGTTTTGCAATATTGTAAGTTTTGCACATTTTTTATCGCAAGTTTTAGTTACTGATGTGATTAATTTACATCGTTTATAAACTAGAACCCTTATTAACAAATGCAAAATATATTGTTTGTGCGATTCACAACTTACAAACCAGTTGGGCACTTTCCTTAAAATCCTTTTACGTATTTTTATAGCTAAAATCCTACCTAAATTTTTCTTGAACCTCACCCTATCAAAATGTTTGTTAAATGTCTTCATTGCTTCACTTGTAAAATTCGTCTGTATATGTGATGGCTTTTTTAGAGACACAGGATTGTTTATGTTAAAGTTTTTATAAAATAGTAAAATATCTGTTTCTTCTGTAAGATCTCGATCACTTGATAAATTAAGTTCGCAGTCGTGACATTTAAATTTGTCCATACATTTTTTAACTAAATATCCGGCAAAATACACCACAGCACAGTCTTCCAAGCTTACTTCCTTCTCTCCACGTGCACTGCTAGAACTGCTACTGCTCAGAGTATCCATTTCTGAACCTGTTGATCCACTGGAATCGTCAAGAAGAGATTCGGATGATAACAAATTTTCATCTCCTTCAGGGTCAGCTTCATAGTTAGAGGTTTTTGGCGGTTTTAACAAATTCCAAATCGTGTTCGCCTTAAATGCAGCTTGAAAAGTTCGAACTGTTGGGTTACGGTTATAACCTCCACGCTGCCTGTATATAGAGAACTGATTTTCTAAAATATCTTGGTTCAAACGTGCCGTAAGTAAAAATGGATATCCTTTGTCCTTTTGATCTTGGTATATCATTTTCACACCCTGGATGGTTAACTTCAAGCCCGAAAAACATGGCACTATACGAAGTCTCCCACGCTTATCCACTTTCTGAATTTTTTCCATAATGGCAAGTGCTTCATTCATAATCACGAATCCACCAGAATCATCACATAATGCTCTCTTGAATGGGTTCACGTCAAACAGTTGTCGACTATTTAACACATCAAACACGTTATTTATTAATTCCACAAATACAGCAGTCGAGTTCGCTGTCAAAGATTTAAGTTCCCCTGTATCGATCGCAGATCTAATGGTTGCAGCAACACTATAACTTAACACTTGCACTGCTAATTTTACGTGCATTTTTTGAAATGCATTGGGGTTCATATGGATGTTCGTTAATTTAGGTAATGATTTTCCAGTTTTGCTACGTGCATCTATGTTAAAAACTTCTTTTATGTCATTAAAAGATACACGATTTCCTTCATAAAGAAAATCTCCATCTAACAAATTGTTTCTAATGCTTTTGATTAAGTGAGGAGCATCAAACAACGCATAATATTTGTTGCTGTTAATTATAATATATGGTTTACTACTTAAAACGTTTAGCAATTTAAATAATTTTTGGTTGGTTGTCGACTGATCACAAACAAAAGCAACGGGATGTACACCAATTTCAGCAAGTGCCGTCAAAATATTTTCTAATATTACTTTTAGTTTTTCAGCTTTAACACCATTTGCTGAACAGTAATACGAAAGTGGAAGTTTCCATGAAGAATACAGTCCTCTGATGATAAAAACCAATGCCTGTTTAGCGAAGACAGGTTGACGGCCAAGTTCCCCTAGGTCTTCATAACCTTGGA